AAATATTAGGAACAGGAATAGATATTAAGATTTTAGCCTTAACTGGCCAGTTAAGTTAACTGAGCTTGGTGACAGTGGCCCTCAATGTACGAGATACACTAATAGTGAAATTTTGTAGTTTACACTATATAATGTAAATAAATATAAACTTTGAGCGTTATATGTTAGGATAGTAGTAATGTATATACAGAACATAACCTCTCATAATTTACCATTTTGCGTCAAGAATCTGCGCAGAAGATTATTACGCAGGAGTCAGTAGTTAGGAGTAGTCAGTAGTTAGTAGTCAGTAGTTAGTAGTCAGTAGTCAGGAGTCAGGAGTTATTATTCTTAACTATATAGAATAAAAATTTTTTACACACGAACAACCAGTGTCGGCTCTTATAGGACATTATATTTGATTTTTTGACTGTTTTATAATTATATTTTATTATAATTATATTATAATTATAATTATATTTTATTATAATTATATTTTAATTATATTTTTTATTTTTAATTATATATTATCTTCACTCACGTCATATAACTTAGTCACTTTCGTCAAAAACAGCATTTGTTACTATATTTATCGTACACGACATTACATTTCGTGTGGTCGTACCCACTCGATGTCAAATATTTGATATTTGTCGCATACGAACAATTCTCACGCCATTCGAGATGACTCAAGAATACGATTTTCTATATCGCATGCGATATAACATGCGATATCTAGGGTCATAGTTTCAAGAATCGGGCCCCTGGACATATATCACGTCCATTAACGACGGTTCCTTGTTTCCCTGGCTACTTTTCCGACAGTTCCAAATATAGATCGTCCCTGTCTTACAGAATAAACGATTTTAACCTATTAGAAATCGGATACATCGGATTACATGGTTTCTGATAGGTTGAAATCATTTATTCTTTATTCTTAATTCCTTATTCCTTCTATTGTGCGCAGGACCTATAGATCTGTTCTTTATTCCTGCACTGTCTGAACTGATACACATGGTGCAATAAGTTGAAGTGAGACAATGGGCGAGTTCAAGACGGCAAAGCGGCTAGGCGTGCTTACCGAGCGATTG